GATTTGGATTCGGGTCCACTTTTTTGACCCATTTAGTAGTCGAGTCAAGTTTGTGTCGAGAGGATTCAGATCAGATCACTTTTGGATTTGACCTGAACCCAATCTGTTAACCTATTTTACCAATTCTAGATGCTCTAATTACCAATTACATTAATTATATTAGGAAAATAGATTGTTATTAGTGGCCTCTCATGCATCCTAATCCTAAAAGGATGGCATAAATTTGAAGGATGAGAATTAGGCCCACAAAGGACAGAAGCTCACATGGTATTCACATGAAGAGTTCCTGCACAATGACAGAGAAAGTTTCAACAATGCCAAAAATCCAATAACAAGGAGCATGTACTATAACCTTCTAAAATCATTCATGGTTAATACATTATTTTTCATAAATTCCCTATGTAATATATATACTTTAGATTTTTTTTTAAATTTTTTTTTCTAATTATATATATTCCTTATGTAATATATTATAAAATATTTTCTTCTCTCATATTTGAGACTTTTTTTTGCCTAATATCACTTGAAATTCTTGTTTTGCTATCATTTGAGATTATTGGTGATGAAACTATTGCCTCATATAGCTATAAGATATTGCCCATGTTCAATGTTTATCTCTTCATGGCTTTCATGGAATTGAAAGAACTCACATGGCATGTTCTTGTTGAAGCCAGAAGACAATCATGTGATCTTCCCCATCTAACCATATTGCCTTCCTTTAGTAAATATGCTGAAACTACTTTTGGCTGAAACCATTAACTCTCTCTATATATAGAGAGAGAGAAAGAGAGAGAGAGAGAGATTTGCTCATCATAATCATCACTCTTATTCAACTATTTGGGTTATCATTATATATATGAATTATCATTATTTGTTTTTTTAATATAAGCTGTATTAGTTAAAAAGAGACAAAAGTTGGATCACCTAACTAACGCTTTATTTGGGACGGCTTTTTAACTGCTTCTTGAAGTATTATAGAAAAATGGCTTGTTACCCGCGGAGAAAATACGTCAGAAATTTTTCTTTTTAGGCAAACTTCCGGCGGAAATCCATACGACAATAATTTGCACGTGAAAATTTTTTTACCGGTGAAATGTTTTTGCTTGAAACTTTTCCTGCTGATTTTCCGGCTCAATTCCAACGGGAAAAAAATGAAGATTAATATTACACGTCGTTTTAATTCTTTGGACGGATTCCGACATTTAATCTGCCAGTATTTCCGACATAAATGTTGCGCTGTAATTACTGATGGAAATGCGTCAGAATATAATATATACCGGCGAATTAGGCGGCGGAATATGTACCAATAAATTAACAGCAAAAAATATGCTGGAAATTTCGCCGTAAAGTTATACCGATGAAATATCTGCCGGTTAGTCCGCTGCTTTTTCCGGCTCATGAAAATCCGTAGAAAAGTCTGGTGGTAATAGCATATTTTCCTGTAGTAAGCAACTTTCAAATACAAAAATATTAACTTTTGTACTAAAAATTGTTTTAAGAAGCACTAAGAAAGTCGTCCCAAATGAAGACTAAATAGCTTTACTCATTCAACCCAAGAGTTTAAATTTATAAGTCAAACTAATCACTTATTTTCGTGCTAATTTATTTTTCATGTATTCAGTACTGTGGATACCTATCCTTTTATGAACATTTAAATTTTTTTTTTTTTCGGGGAGTTTATGAGACTCGAGTTGATATTAGTTGGAGGGATTCATTTCCATCAACCACTGCGTCTCGCCCCCTACATTTAAAATCTTACATGTCAATAATCACAATCCAGATGATGATGAAACGAAGGAAGTGCTAAAGATAACTCTCCCCCTCCCATATTTGAGGAACTTTACACAGTACTTATGCATAATATAGAAGTTTTACCATTAAATTCTTCTGTAACTATAGAAATTATCAAAGTTTTGTCTCTTCTAAATTTAGGCTTAGTCTTTCACTCTCACTCATTAGAAACTGTAACCCCACCATTGTCAAAAAAGAATCAAATCCACAACCATCTTCCCTCTATCCTCTATAAAAGAAGCATCATGTGGCCTATCTCCCATACACAATAAAACCAACTCCATTACTCCTAAGAAAACTGAGCTTAGATCGATCGAGAAAATGGTGTGCAAGGTAGAAGACAATAGCAAGCTAAGGAGAACACAGGAGGCAATGAAGAAGACGAGGAACGAGCACAGAGAAGCGAAGAGCTCCAAGCAAGAACCAGCGAGCCTCCATTGCAACAAAGGCAGTACCTGCAAGTTCAAGCGCAGCTGCTTCTGCGAAGAAGATGATGCCATCTCTTCTGCTATTCTTCTCTTAGCTTGCGTCGTTTGTTCTCCAAATTCCATGTAGTAATCTTCTTCTTCCTTTATCGATGTTATTTTGTCTTTGTTAGTATGGAAATTTGTTAAATTACCATTTGGGTTTCATTTGGATATCATCTTGTAAGGTGTTGTGAAGCGAAGTTGATGTTTGTTTGATGATAATTTTATTTTAAAATGTTGTAAGAGATGTTATAATTTAATAAAGATATTTTTGTGACATTAAAATGAGTTATTGAATGATAATTAAAATATAGTTGTTATATTATTTATTAAATTATTTTGATCATTCAATAAAATAACTAAAATTCATGAAAAAAGGTTTCTTTACCTGAACATCATTCCAAAAAGCATAAGCAAATGGATTGTTAGTTGGATATTATCAGAAATTATTATTAATTTTTCATTTTTTATAAAAATTTCAAAATTATTTTCAATATAATTCCTGATAGATAAATTCGTACTAAAATATAAAATTAGCGGAGAAGTCACACAACCAAGCTCTACTCTTTGAACGTTGAGAGTTTTAATAGATTTCAACAATTTTGTGCAGTTTATAAATAAATTAATGAACATAAAAAAATAATTATTTAAGTATTTTAGGATACATTTAATTTGCAATTTTTTTTATTGAATTTTCTTTATTTATATTTTAAATATGAAAATAATTTTTAGCATCTTAATTAAAAATATTTTATTTTTATTTTTATTAAATATCAAATAAGTTGATTTACACAATAATGATGGCAACTGCCTTAATACTGTCAAAATGAGTTGTGGTCGAGTTCGGTCCGACCGTCTTTAATAAACAGACAAAAAAATCCATCCTAACCCGCTAGTAATTATTGAATGACCATGTATTGAACTCAACCCGTTTACCCATTTTGATTAACTTTTTTAATAATTATTTTTAAGTTTGAGATATTTGATAAAAAATAAGAATATTAATATACCCTACAAGTAAAAAAATTTAAGTTATATATATATATATATATATATATATTAAAGGGGTCTTTTTCAAGTCAAATGCGGGTTGATAGGTCACTGAAACCTGATTGATTTAATAAACCAATAAAAAAATCTAACATGTTTATTAAATGAGTCAACCTGAAACATAATTTTTCAAGTCTGTTTAGGACGGGTTGGTCAGTTTGGTCATTTCTTGACACCCCTATAACTGCATATGGGAGTCTTATTTGTGGGTAAGGCAATGAAAATGGTAGTGATCAACATCGATGATAATGATGATGAGAGACGACTGTATTGGTTGTCTTAAAAAATGCTCAAAACACCTCAAAATTATTTTTAATATTGTTAATAACAACTTGATTTATTATTATTTTTTAAATACAAATAGTTGAAAAAACTAACTAACAAACATGCTCTTAAAATAAAATTAATCCCAAGTCTAACAACACTTAAGCTCCTTTAAATTTTATTTATTTATTTACATCTTCACTCCCACATTAAACACCTGAGCAAATCAAATTGATCAACTTAGTTGGTATCCATCAAAGTGGAATTATAAATGAATCTACCTAAAACAACCATCAAAAGTGGTGAGTTTCTTATCTCTATTGGATGAAGTGGATTTGCGATTGTAGATATTATTTGGTACTTTTGGTTGGCTTAAGGCAAATGGACAATGATGGGGCAGGCCCTTGCTCACCACCTAGATGTTCTCATCTTGCTGGCAACCTTAATTGGTGGTGGAATATATTGTTTTGGTTGGAGTTTGGGGGCTCTTCTTTTCAATGTGAGATGATATATATACTTGTTGCTCTCGATGTTATCTTTGAACTGGATTGTTGCCTCCAATGGATGGTCCTAGACGGGCATCTGGGTGAGGAGTGCAGGATGACTCTTGCTATTTTCTGAGTCAGTCTTGTATTTTGCTCTTTTTTGTTTCTTTATCTTTTGAGATCATTTTTAATTTGGGGTATTGTGCTTTGTATTTTGGTTTGTCCTATTTTGATGTTGTATGTCATTTCTTTTCTTTGGAATGAAAATTTTATATATATAAAAAAACATCCTATAAGAGTAGAGCAAGTTGTTTGAGAACAATTGAGGGAGAGGCAAGAAACTAATTGACATTTAACAATATATATATATATATATATATATCAGAATTTTCTAATGTAAAATATAGTATGTGAGTTTCAAAATCTCTAATTTGCTTTGAGATTGATGTCATTTAATATATCATATATAATATTAATCTCAGCATAAATTAGACTGTTCTGATTCCCATCCTAATGACTTTTGCAGTAACAAAACTGTTTTAAAAAACAGTAAAAAAGATGTCCCAAAACGAAGCCTTATTCTTCAAAGGGATAAAGTACATTCAAATGAATTTTTCATCAAAATCATCGAAACTTATGATATGATTTATTGGCAAAGAGTTAAGCCAACTAGTTGTTTATCTCTCAATGAAATTGGAAATAGATAATGGCGAATAGCAACATCAAATACTCCATTTTTTATTTGAAGGTATGAGGATTTACCAAAAAAATTCATGAGGCGATAATTAGGATCCTCATTCACCAACACAACGAATTGAAAATTTTGATTCATTTGTAGCATGTGGAGAATTAGATTTCAAAGTCATTGGCTTAAAATACACTAAAATGAAATATAGTTCTGATTTTTTTTTTTAATGAAATATAGTTCTGAATTGAACCATTACATTTCACTCCTAGCCTTTTCATAAACACTCTCTTTCTCTCTGTAACTTCTAACCAAATTTGGAAATTCGGTAATGGGATTTGATCCGGCTTCCTTCAATCTCAAAACCCTATTCATTCTACGACTCAGATGTCACTCATCACTCTAGAACAACTCCTCCGCGAGGAGGAGGAGGTGGTGGGTAAGGGAAGGGCTGCGTACTTGTCCGATAAGCCCCGACCGATTGATTTCTACAAGGAGGAAGGTCGCGAGATGATGATCGACGTGGCTAGCAATGGTGGCCTGCCGCTTCTGCAGCAGCAGATGATTTTGGCTGAAAGCAGCGGAGAGGATCCCGAGGTGAAGGCGCCGAAGAAGAGGGCAGAGACGTGGGTGCAAGAAGAGACACGAAGCCTCATTAGTTTGAGGAGAGAGATGGACAGGCTGTTCAACACTTCCAAGTCTAATAAGCATTTGTGGGAGCAAATCTCCGCAAAGATGAGGCATAAAGGATTTGATCGATCGCCAACCATGTGCACGGATAAATGGCGGAATTTGCTCAAGGAGTTTAAGAAGGCCAAGCATCAGTATAGGAGCGGTGGGACTGCGAAGTTACCTTATTATAAAGAGCTTGATGAGTTGCTCAAGAACAGGAGCAAGAATGCGGCTTCCAAAAACCACATGTCCTCCAAGGTTGATTCATACTCGCAATATTCCGAAAAAGGTATGATTCTTTGTTTTTTTTTTAAACTATTGATAAGGTTAAATTTAGGGTTTTTTGATAATTAGAAATATTCTTTACCTGTTTACTGGCATGCTTTTCATAGTTTATAAATAATATGTGCTGTGCAAAGAGATTGATTGTTTAAGTAATCTTGGGAGTTAGATATCATCTGTCTACAGTACGGGCACTATTTAACTGCGAGAGACTTGAGCATACTGTATACTGGAACCTTCAATTCCTGTATCACTTCAACTTTCTGCCTCCTGAAAGGATCACTCTGTGCAGTTAATCAACATTCCTATGAAGTTATGGTTTTTTGAATTTGCACTCAAAATTTTGCAGGCAAAAAGGGCTGACTTTTGAAAATCACGGCTCAGTTTGTGTATCCTAAAATATTTCAGCTAAATTTTGATATAAAGTTGTGAAGATATTTTCTTATAAATGATGAAGATCAATCTTTATCAGACTTCTTTGTTTTTTACTGGAAAGGAAATATGCATAATGGCATGACTGAGTATCTTTGTTTTGTCTCAGCGTTGAGTAAGTTAGGCCGAAGAATATGTTTTGATCTCACTTCCTTGATTTGCTTTTGATTTCATGATCTCATTGGCCTTTCCCCAATGATTTTGGGTTGGATTTATGATTCCTCATTCTCCATTTATTCTTGATGAACACTATTTGAGATGTCAATCTATTTCTTTCAAATCTCTTTGCACAACTTCTATACATGTTATTTTTGGTACACCCCTTTTCCATCCCAATCATTCAATGTTAGTATTATTTATCCATTTCATGGTACATCTTTTGCATTTCATTGTACATATCTAAAACACTCAAATCTATTTTTCACTGCAAATCTATTGTCGCTTTTGTAATCTGTTTCATTTAATTAATAATAAAACCATCCTTTATTGTTTTGTTTTGAAATCATTCATCTTAACATCCTCATTTCATTTTATAAAATTTGTTGTTATTTCTTCTTCATGATGTTTTCTCATTTCATTGTTCTTTTAAAATACTCTTTTTATTTTAATCACCTATACTCAATTTTAGAAGTCCTATGCTCATCCACATCCCATTTGTTTTGATTAATGGGTTGTTCTGTACTATTGCATTAGCTTCTCCGGCATGCAAAGAACTCCCTTGGAGAGTTAATATCCATATAGCAATCTAAGGGATTCGGTGCTAGATTTTGTAACTCATTCTTGTTCATTTATGTATCATTTGAAAGAGGCACACTTTTCCACTTGAACAGTAATATGCGCTCAAATTTTTGCAAGTATCACTTCATTTGAAATGACATCATCAACGTCGAAGTAGGATGGTGGAATTGGAATGATGAGATCTATAGAGGGAATAATTGTAATAAACCTCCTTAGAAGAATTAATACAAAATTTTTGAGATTTGAACTTTCCTTGATAGGGTAGGTGATGAGGACATCGAAGATCAACGGCTACGATCGTGCTTATTTATTTTCATGTATTTTATTTGTTATTTGTACTTTTCCATTTATACCCTCACTTGAGGGCTTTGTTTTATGTTTGCCCTAGGGGCATTTGTGTCTTTTTTTTTCCTTCATGTATTTGGCTATTTAAGCCTTCCCCTTCCTCTTGGAAAAGGGATGATGATGATTATGAAATTCTTCTCTTTGTGTTCTCTTTGTGAGTTCATAGTTTCTTGATCTCTTGGCGAGTTCAATTCTTTTAGATCTCTGTGTGAGTTCTAAGGAAAGCCCAAGGTGAGGGCAAAAGCAATATCCGCCAGTCGTCGAAAGCGTCCTCGACTCGTGGTTTATTTTTATCTTATTGTTTTCTTCTCCAAATCACATTTTCCTCCTCCCCACGCCAAGCCCTACCCGAGATCCCATCATCCACCACGTTACTCATTAGCTTCCTTCACCACAACCCAAGCTCCATCAAGAAATCCCCTAACCCGATGGCAAGCCCCTCTTCCTCCTTTGGCCGCCGGCCACCACCTTGCTCCAAGCCATGAGTCAACTTTAAAATATAAGCATTAGAAATTTCCTACTTATTTGGAAATGACCATAGACTCTTGCTTTTAACTTGTTAGATCTGGTTTGTGCAAAATGTTCAGGACGTACATAAATTATGACAAAGTCAGTTTCATTGTAATCATAAATATTTCTTTTAATATCAAATTATTTCAAATTGTGCATGTTTTTTTAACTTTATCATGTAAATCACTTATATGTTTTGCAACTGAGACATCGAAATCAGAATATATATGTAATGATGAATGGAAAATATATGCATACTTTTTATATTTTGTCTTTGAACAAGCTCGGTTTCTTGCCCTTAGATTTACATAACATTCTATTGTATTCGAATTTAGCTATTGAAAGTTGTAGAGCCAATTATCTAGGTTCATTTGCAACAAAGACATCTCAATAGATTTTAAGATCTCTATTTAGTACCACAGTTTGACAATCATTTCGAAGGTAGATGGTTGATAAAAAGTTAATGGTGTTACCCATCAATTTTATGAGGTTTTCCACGAATAAGAAGCACGGATGACATCACTATTACATATTATGCTCTTAAGCAACCCTTGTAATCTAACTTCCCCAAACATATTTAACAGCTTTAGCATATGTACAACTCTGAAATTGAGTTTATATGATTGTATATATGATGGGGACATCAGAGCTTGGAAAGTCTATCAGAGACGTGGCTGTCGATCGACGGCCACGATCGAGTCGATGTATTTTTGAGTCATTTTATTTATTTGTCTTTTATTATGTTATTTGTCTTTTATTTTTTATGTTGTAGTTGTTTTTCCATTTTTATCCCTTATTTAAGAGAGGTCGTATGTAAGCCTTGAGGGCATTGTCGTCTTTCTTATTTTGAGTCTTATGTATGAGGCTATTTATAGCCCATATATTTCTCTTTGAAAGCTTAATGATTGAATGATAAAAAAACTTTTGCCATTGCTTAAGTTCTTGAGAGATCTTGAGATTGCTTGGAGAGAGATTCGTAGGAGAGGGAATTTGGATCACCCGCCAACCTTGGAGACGGCCGGGTTCGTGGTTCTTCTTCGTTATTTATTTTTCCTTTCCCTTCATCACCTAGCCGCCGGCCACTTAACTTCCCACCACCGCTGCCTAAACTCCTTCCCTCACCCAAACCACTGGCAAACCTCATCCCCACCATCACCCCACCGAAATCCCCCCTCAAGCCCACCAAGCCGCCGACGAGGAATACGTGGAGTGCATTCTAAATACTCTCGTCGAAGCCATAGAGGAGCAACTTGGTACAGTACAGTGGAGGATTACATCTAAACCGTGACAAAGGTTTGCCAATCTTCATACTCTCGTATTTATGTAGTTTAACTCACTCTTGTGATTTGATTTGATTCATGAAGGTCTTGTCCGCCTATCTCTGCTAAGCCTAGTAAGCGTAAGAATTGAGTTAGCTTTCTATGCTTCTAATTTTATTGTTAGCGTAGGGATTCTTGTTGAACGCTACTATATTTGCTTAATATTGTGATTCTAATTATTTGATAATTCAAGCGTTTAGTAAGTGACTTAGTTTAAACGTAGGTGTGGGCTCCGAAAATTCGGCCCCGGCCTCCCCGCCGCGCTGATTTGCTTTTTTGCTTTAACGAGGGAGTTTTAACGGAATAAGTTTCGGGATAAATTTTGGAAGGCAGATATGTTTTGTAGATAAGACACTACCCAGAGATTTCGTCCTCATTTTGCGAGGACTTTATGATCTAAGTTCTATAGGCGCAAGCCCCTATAGTTAATTACCCCTCCCGATAACGAGAGAGAACTTTCGATTAAGGCTAGTCGTCAATCAGATTCGTATAAAGATACGTGCATCTGGCATATAGTAGCAGCATTGATATTGGAGAATTTGGGAATTTAGAGGATTTGGGAGATTTGATATTTAAAACATAAATTTCACCATCTTGCACTTAAAGCGGATGGTGGGGGAATAAATGATAGACCCGATCAAGATCCCATGGTTCCGTCGTCCCGGGCCATCGTGATCCTTGGTCTACTTAGTCAGAGGAGATAGTCGACCCAACCTGACAGAAGGATCCTTGTCGGCAGCCATGGGTTGTTTCGTCCAAGGGGACTTTATAGACCGAGGGTGAATGTTTGTCTAAGGGAACAAATTTGAATCCACCTTAGCTAACAGAGGGTTGTGCCCTATCAATCATATCCTATTGATTCATATCTCAAGGATTTGATGCCACTAAGGAGCGTATTGGCTCTGGGCATAACCGGTATTTCTTGGTGTCATTTGACGACAAAACCACTCGGTTCAGAGGGCCCCGGGTCATAACTGTTTATGCCGCGGTGCCATTTGGCGGCAAAACCACCGGTTAGAGGACACGTACCACATGCTTACTGGCATGATACTATTTTGAGAATGTATCCTAGTGATATTTTCAACTAGGCATTTAGCTCTTTGTGAGCTTAAGTAAATTTCAGATTTGTCCACCTCGGCAAACTGTTGCGGAGAGTGGATGGATTTTTGCTTTAGTGTTGATGGATTTATTTCAATTTTAAATATCTTGGAATTTGGGATTTCGAGATTTTTGGAATTTTCTAGGATTTTGGATGGAGCTTTAGAATATTTGAAATGGACTTTGGATATTTGTGAGACATTTAAAAATATTTGGGAACCCCTCCAGTTGAGATCTGCATTCAGCACGGCCATCATCGGGGTGTTTGGGATCATTTCTCTTTTGTTGATTGAGCCCTGTTAACTCGACCAAGCTATTGATTGAGGATCGGGTTTCGTAGGCTTTGTGCATTTGTTGATGAATTATCTTGTTTATAGGCCTTGAAGGCCTAATATGAATGTATTAAAACAAATACACCGGTTGCCACAACCGTGTATTTATTTGAAGGTTCGAACCCTGTCGACTCCTATTGATCCATATAAAAGGATCGGTTCAAAATTGAATTCTCTTATTAACTTGCACAGCATCCCTGGACGTCACGTGTGTACCAATAACACGCTAGCCGGGGCCCTTGCGGGTGTTTGGGGGCATTTTATAATTGAACCATGTCTACTCCTTTTTACATGCTTAGGAGGATCATGTTCAAATTTAATAACCCGCGCAGCATCCCTAGACGTCACGTGTGTACTAATAACACGCTCGCCGGGGCCCTTGCGGGTATTTAATTACATTTACCCATTTTGTGTACCTATGTGTATACAAACTATGGTGCACGTGTGGGGGTACTTTGAAAATACTTGTAGACGCCTTCTGTCCGCTTGCATAGAAGTTGCGGATCCAGTGGCGTGGCGTAGCAGCTTCTGAATAGAGTTGTTCGCTGCTTCGTATAGGTAGACTGTCGTGCACTACTCGTTGCTTTCTGCAGGTGGATTGTAGTGCACTAACTAATCTCCTGCATTAAGTTGTAGAAGCTCGTAGGAACTTGTATTCTTTATGCCTTCTGCTGTGATTTTGGTCTTTACAATACATCCGCTACTGCTGAGGTAGATGTATTCATCCTTAGATTGAAGTTGACTATAGGATACTGCATTTACTGTAGTCTTTATGTATCTACACAGGGGTGACACGCTATACATACATTTATGTCAGTAGAGAGATTGTATGCATTACAAATCTTTTACCATCATGATGATCATCACCTACTGCTCTGTGTGTATTTACTTATGACTTTGTTGTTTGCCAATGAGTTGGTTTAACCATTTGTACATTGATATTTGGCTGACTATATGATGTTGAATGTGAGGAGGCTGTTACATTCGTTGCTCATTTATAGTCGTCATTTTGACTTCCTTCATTTGTAAACAACACACTGTGATTATGTGAAGGACCTGTCGTATCCATTGTGTATCCTTCATTATTGAGGTGAATTGTTTGTAGATAGGGTATGACCGCAAACTCCTTGATTTCACATGCTTGTCTTCAATGATCGATATTTGCTCTCTTGAGATAATCAAACACCCATTGAACAAAAAAAATTGATTTTCTAACTATAGTTCAAATTTGGATCCACAAGTCTCTCTTTCCTCTTGATGATAATTATTTGGTTTTCACCCTCAATTGTGAATGACTCATCTTGCACGTGTTGTAAGGTTCATTTTTTTGAAATATCATTAAACCTCCTCTTGCAACTAGACTACACATGGCTAATCATGGTAGTTGAGTACTCGATGTTCACTTGGATGAACATGATGCATTTAGATTTTGATTTGCTAATTCATCAAAAGCCCAGTTCTGTGTACTCCATCCAATTTCTTTATAGTTCATACTATTCAAATCTCTTACGATTGGATTTGAGCTCCTTACAGTTCAAGGTTGAATCAAGTCTTCTCAATCAAATTTGACCTTTCTTGATCAAGTTTTGTCTTAAATCTTTAACTTTATTGTTCAAATTTGAAATTATTTCACTTAGTACTCATGTTCAAGTCTTTTGTTGGCTTTAAGCTTAAGTGCAAGTCTCATTTTTTGTTCATGTCCTCAACATATTCTTTTGCTTTGTTGTTCAAGCTCAAGTCCAAATCAAAGTTCTCTGTGATCTTGTAGAGTCCCAATTCGAGTTCAAATGATAGTCCAAGTTTATGTTGTTCTTTGAATTCAATCAATTTCTTTTATATTATTCAAGTTCATTTTAAGTTTGAGCTCAAGCACTGCATGATTGTTGAAATCAAGTTCTAATTCATGTCCTTGTAGTCTTGTTGAGCTCAAGTCCAAGCATAATCCTTTGTGTTCAATCAAGTTCAGGTCCCAAATTGTTCAAAGTCCTTGTCTTTATTTCAGACAATTTCGGCAGCCTCCCCGGCGTCTCCCCGTTTAGGGGAAAAATCAAAGGCCGCCTACCGCCACGTCAATAAAGACGTGTACGGTTGGTGTTTGTGAGACACCGCGGCGGTAATTTTTTTGTTTTTCTCCCACCACGCCAACAAAGGCGTCCATGGGGTTTTAAAAAGCATTTTTATGAAAGGGTAGTTTTGCTTTCCCCTCGCTCGGGGGTACTTATAAGTGACCCCACCTCGCCGTAGGTGCCGCACCGGGGTCCCATCCCACCACGCCCAACAAAGGCGTGATGGAGGTTTTCCGGTCCGCCACGAATATTGAAGTAGGATTTTTTAGGTGATTACCCGCCTCGTCGTAGGCGCCGCACCAGGGTCCCATCCCACCACCCGGCAGTGGAAGAAGCTTTCAGGGCAACAAGGCGTTCATGGCGTTTTTCGGTCCGACCGCTAACTTCGAAATGGGAATCTGAGTTTAAGGAGTTTCGTACCTTCGCGGGGATCCAAGGGGTACTCGCCTACCTCGTTGTAGGTGTCACACCCGGGTTCCCTCCTACCACGCTCAACAAAGGCGTGCATAGGTGGTTGCCGACCCGACACGAACATCAAGGTAAGAGAGTGAAGGGATTTTTATTATTATTATTATTATAAATTATTTATTAATGATAATAAATTAATTAGAATAAATTAGGTTTAATTAATTATAATTAATATATGTTTAATTAATAATTAATTATTATTATAATTAAACTTAATTAAAACAAATTAATTATGATTAATTAATGATGAATAATAATTATTTATAGCTATTTTAATTAATTAAAATCAATTCACGATTAATTAATTAATAACCATAAATAAGGCTAATTGAACATAATTAACTTTGTTAATTATGTTTAATCAAATATTAATTATAATTAACATAATTAATCATGATTAAATTTAATTAATATTGATTCAGAATTTAAACTAATTAAGTATATTTTTAATAATAATAATAATAATACTAATAATAATACTAATAAATAACAAATAAAAATAAAAACCTCCTTCTGCCCCTCTCGGTTTGGGAGATTTACGGGATTTGGCCGGTGTTGCACGCGAAAGGAAGCAAGTTACCTTCATAGCAAGTGAGCTGCTGTCGTGGCTTCCGATCGGACACAAAGAGGGCAAGGGAGGCGTCGACTAGGTAGGGGGTTTCTCTCTCTCTCTCTCTCTCTCTCTCTCTCTCTCTCTGTGAGGCTCGGGAGGCAGCGACGGGCTGAGGGCAGGGAGCTTCGTCAACTAGGGCAGAGAAGGGGCTTTGACGGGAGAGCAGAGAGGGGATCGCTCGTGGGAGAGAGAGCGAATGGAAGCAGCGATTGTGGGAGAGGGTCGAGCAGAGGCGAATGGAGGCCTCTTCGTCTCCTATTTATCGACGCGAAAAGAGTCCGGTTCAGCGGAACTCCTGCAGGAATCGCGGAGAATCGACTGGAGCAGCGCCGTTCTGCAGGTAAGCGGGATTTCTTGTGGGTTTTACGGGAGCTTTCGGCGGGATACGAGGTATTCCCTATCTCTCTCTCTTTCTCTTTTGGTTTCTTATACAGAGGTCAACAGTAGGCACCCCTCTCTTGTTTTCTTTTGTCATTTTTTGATCGCTAAAGATTCTAATCTTAATTGTTTTATTCAAGAGATCGTGCAAATTCTTAACACATGCAATTAAAACATTATAGTTCTGCATCAATATACTTGTGTATAACCCAAATGATTGAAGAACTTACAATAAAATGCTTATATAGCACAAAAATTTGATGACCTTGCACGGAAACAGTTGCACATATGTGTGTATAGCCCAATAATTGGGTTTACATGGTTTACATCTATGTACAATACAAATTATGGAAGGATCTAGCCCAAATTACCAATGCATAGGTATGTACAATCTTGAAATTGAGTTTATATGTTTCTACACAATTGTTTGCTACCCAAAAAAATTAACAACTTGCATCTAAACATTGTACACATGAGTGTACAACCCCATAGATTGAGTTTACAGGGTTACACATACCCGTGTACAACACAAAATATAGAAGAACCTATGTTAAAACAACTTCACATAAGTGTGCATCATAAATTTTATTTATAGGGTTGCATATACTTATGCACAATAGAACAAATTGATGAACCTGCACCTAAATACTTATACGCAAATATTTGCAACCATGAAATTGAGTTTAAGTGGATTTACATACTTTCTTTCAACATTAACAAGGGATGAACTTGCACCTAATTACATAATCTGCTCTAATTATCTTGCATTATGGTCGTTCTAAATAGCATACTTGTACAACCTCCTCCATCCTTTATGGGGTTTTAAAGGGTTGATGTTTGGAGCCTTACCCCATCATAACAAGCAGGCTAGTTTTGGATTCGAATTTTTGCACACCAAAAGGCTTTGATGGTGCAAGATAACCATTGTGGCAAGGACAGTCTTGCTCTTTGATTTTGTTGCATTTCGTAATGTCTTTTTGTTTAAAAAAATTTTCAGGAGATCAGATTAATCAACGTTAAACATTTTTCTGAAGTTATACCTTGCAAATTCTAACATGCTTTTTTCAACCCGTCCGTGACTTGTCAAATTCTATTAAAAAATGACCAAGTACAATTAAAGGATCAAATGTCTAGATTCATCTAAAATTTAAGGCTAACAAAAAGAGGATAGAGTTTCAACCATCGTGTAGCAGTCAATTGCAAAGCAAATATCATGATTCTTCCATGTTTGACAATTCCCGTAGTATCTTTCAATCAAAAAGGTTACCTTGATCACTCAACAGCACCTTTCTTGTCAAGATTTACTCTTTTCTCCTTTTTACAATATTAGGTTGTCGTTTTGATTTTGGGAAATTGCAAAGTATTTTGGGAAAATGCAAAGTATCTGATTATACTCTTTATTATGGTTTGTACTTTCAAATTTGTTTCTTCTAAGCATAAGTTCTTTAATTTGTTTTATATGGATGGAAGTAATGAATCCTGTTTATGCCTTTACTCATTTCGTGAAATTTTTATAAATCCTATACTCCACTTTTTCTCTTTCAATGCAGGTCTTGATGATGCTAGTATTCCATATAATTCCGTAGAAGGTATCTTACTAATTTTGCTGTGCATTAGAAAACATCCTTTTTTATTAAAATTTACTCAAACGTTTATGATTATGGAAATTGAAGACTTGCAAGTCTACAATGTCATTGCCTTATTATTCAAAACTAGTAAAACAATATATTGATTTTGTTTTGTATCTGGAATATTTTCTTTTTTCTTTGTGGCTCATTATGCTACTGTTGAATTTGCTAATTTTAGTAGCTAAGTTGGGCAATGAAAAATAAATGAGGTCTTAATACATTTCCGTTATTTCCAATTTGATATGCTGACAAAGCACTAGCGGCTTAGTGCTTACACTTGCATCATTCTATACTAAACTAAGTCACTGCTTAGCCTGATGCTAGCAGTGAAATTCTGAAGAACTATCTATCATAGTAGCACTATTCTGGACATCATTGTGCTGTTCTAGGTCAGCATGAGCATGTTCTGTGTCAGTCCACTCAGATAATGATGTATTTCTGATACCACTTCCAAAGAAGAATCTCTTAAGGAAATATAGGGAATGCATAACTTGATTATTTTATGGGGAATCTAGCACAAAATGATAATAAGGAGAGAACAAGATTTCATTTTTCCTAAAATAAAATTAGGGTAGAATAAATATTCATCTTTGCCCCACCTGTATTGATAAGTTATACATATATTTATAACCAAACTTTACTTAAATGGATATTCATTAAACTTTTCAGTATTAATAAGTCATACTTGTGTTGTTGCATGATTTCTTAATCATTTCTGTTAGAATATGTATACAATTAATATGAATACAATATGCAAGGAAATTGTCATATTTCTAAAACATTATCAAATAGAAAAACATTTAGATTGACATACTAAATCTTATTTTAAACTCACATGTTTAAATTATATATATGGTTGTTCATACTTGAAAACATGGATGTAAAGATATTTTTTTATATATTAAACAATTTAATACCATTTTACTTTAATACATTTAAAATTAACCTCTATGCTTATAAATGAAACTCATTATATTTGAAATATAATTGCATTACTTACCTCCTTGGTGATTCATCTATTCAAGTCCTCCACCTCACACTTTTCTTCAATTGTAAGTAACCTACACAAGTTATTTCTAATTATCTATAGTTTCCATAATTTATTATTCAAATAAATTTACATAAAATTCATTTATACTAACATTACAATTTACCTCGTAGCATCCTCTTTGCATAGATCCAAAGAATCCTACAATACGATCCGATTATCATCTTTTGAACTTTACTGAATTTAGGGAATTTAAAAAATAATAACAACATTAGAATTCTTACCTCCTTTAAACTTTATCTCTTAATCTCCCTTCACTGTTTCCTCAATTAATTTGCACCCTTACATCAAACTACAATTCATCATATAATTTTATATTAATCACATCCAAATATTAGCAAATCTTGCTACATTTAATTGCAAGTTTACTTGTCTAAATATTGTATTTCACGAAATCTTCTTCACACTCACTTCACTGCACAGTAATCTTAATTGCACTGCTTTCACCGAATTTCCTTCAAGCCAACAGTGCCGAAATCCTTCTCTACAGTAGTCGAACCATACAACAATCCATTGTGCCACCATCCTCAGGAACACTGTGCCGAATACAGCTACAATCCCGCATGCACTGTGCCGCCTGTAGGAGAAATTCCAGTGTGCCGACTTTCTCAGTATTTTCTTCCCAGAATTGTGCCGCCCTCTTCAGCAATCTGAATTCCTTAATGCATAAGCCGAACTGTGATGAGTGGAATTCTAGTTTACATGAAATGGGAAATGTTAGGAATAGAGGCCCACACACTATAACTGCCATTCTATGCAGCCATTAAATGCAACTTCAGATTTTTATATTTTCTGTATATCATCTCTTATTTTAATAGTAAATATTACTTAGTATTAATACGAAAATTAAAAATTTACTAATATTTAATTAATCATTATTTATTTAAAGTAATTCTTTTAGTAATAATGATTTCTATTAATAATTTAATACTAATTTAATAGTAAATTAACATTAAACTTTAAAATGAGTTTTAAGATATCTTTAATAAATTTAAAAATTTTCTTACCTGAAATTGCGGGTTTTACATAAGGGGTCTTGCATAGCTACATGTTTAGCTTGTATGAATCTCTTGCAGCAATGCCCCATAGTTTTAGGTCTGAGTTCAGTTGGTATACCACGTACTGGTATGTGCAACTACAATAATAAAAACAACAACAACAACAAGCTTTTAACCCACAATGTGGGGTCGGAAACATTTATTCTTTTTCTTCATTGTGTCCTATTAAGAGTTAAATTCTCATTCAAATCTAATAAAAAAGGTTTGTCTCTAACTTTCCTAACACAGGCCAAATCTAATACATATACTCTCCTAACTGGGTCTTCGGAAGGCCGACATTTTATGTGATCAAACCATCTAAGACGACTCTCTCTAATCTTATCTGCCACTTGAGCTACTCCAACCTTTTCACGTATATACTTGTTTCGCATTATGTCTCTAAGAATAAAGTCACTCATCCACCTTAGCATCCTTATCTCTGCAACACTCAATTTAATTTTATGCTTCTCTTTTAATGGACAATATTTTGCGACATAAAGCATTGTATGTCTCACCACCATTTTTTTTAATTTCGAGCTCTCTCTCTTAGCAGGTCTCACCACCATCTTATAAAATTTTCCTTTAAATTTGAGGTGTACTTTTCTATCACAGGACATGCCCGATGCATTGCTCCACTTCAACCATCCAATTTGAATTCTACTAATAATATCCTCACGTATTGGTATGTGCGGATATATAAAAAGGTCCTAAAATGCATGCATGAAGTTATTTGGTGTGTTGCATCTGCATTTGTTTATGCATGGATTGTATATCTATGAATTAGCTCACGCGTGCATGCATGTATGCATGTCTGTATGCAGGTGCGGTTGCTTGCTAGTAGTATCTTAAAATCTTGCCATCCACACTAAAAAAACCATAAAACACACTGGAAGGCACATTAAAGCTTTAATAATAATCATGTTTCCTAGTTTTTTTATTCGTATTATGTAGCATATAACTTGGAGACGATGGGCAGTTCAGAAGAACTAATGCACTTGTTGAATATGATTTTCCTGCTGAAGTTTTTTTTTTGTCCGGGACACTAGATTTATTAGCTTAAACACTAACTTCTTTAAATTTGGTTTCCAGGCACAGTTGGATTTTTGTCCTTTTTAATCCTCTATTAAATTTAAATGAGAATTTAATTCTTTACCGGATACAATGGAGAAAGAGGATTCATCTAGCCTACCCCACGTAGTGGTATAAAGACTTGATTTTGTTAATCTTCTATGGGGTTCTTTTTCCTTATTTGTTTATGGAATGTGCGTGTTTCTTATTTTTAACCTTCCATTCAATTTTACGGATTTTTTTTTTGGTGATTTTCTAGCTAATGGAAGGTCATCTTTTAATCTGGAAAGACGTCTAGATCCTGATGGACATCCTCTTGCTATAACTTCAGCTGATGCAGTTGCAGCTGGTGGAGTTCCTCCTTGGAACTGGAGAGACACCTCAGCAAATGGTAAGGAAATCATTTATGTAAAGGATATTGTTGTCTCATTCCCTGTAAGTGATGGTTCAGTCTTTTGAAAGAATCTTCTCTTCTTTGTGATTAGGTTGGCTTGTCTACCTATTCACATCTGATCAAAGGCATACAACTAATACTTTTCTGATGGCATAATAATCATCTTCAAAATCATTAGCTTTATCCTCACTATGCTCTTCTGATATTGTAACAAAGGGAAAAGAGATGCATCATGATTCACTTTTCTCCACATTGTGTGAGAATGCTTCGAAATCTACTTTTTTCATGACTCAGAAGATCTTGTAACGACCTATCAAACTTCCTTACCTCTTCCATAGCTGTGAGTATTAGGGAAGAGAAGCAATACTTGTGTGTAAACAAAGATCAATGTATCTATCTACCTATTATTGTTGGTGAATAGCTATTTGGTTTGATGATTGACAGGATAACCTAGATGTACCCACTTTTCTTATGGAATCACTGTGATGTCTATTCTCCCAAGTCCCAACTAAGTACCCACCTCCCATGTCACATGTGCTCACTAACATTTGTGCTAACTGATTAACTTGAAGAAACCAAAACTTGTTCCAATATCCAACACTGTAGCAGAATGGATGGATAGTTTGGCATATAATTCAACCAAAGTTAGAACAATAATAACATTCTAACTCGTAGCTCATACTGATTTCTAGTATGTTTGCCGCCGTCTTTGTTTAATAAATAGGTCATCAATGTCTATGTGGCCGTCTGATTGCAAGTATTTGGAATTTTGAAGTATTCAAAATATAATATAAAATAAAATCATATATTTGAGATACTTTGCCAGCGCTTGGTTTCTCCTAAAAAATTTTAGGAGTTTAATTTTTTGTGTTTGGTTGCTTGTAAAGTAAAATCTTTAAAATGCAGTGGTAGCCGATAGTGGTGGAAGTGGTTGACGTTGGCGACAGGGAGTGGTTGGCAATGGCATGGCGTGGTTCAATGACCTGCGGCAATGAGCGATAGTCAGCGGTGGCCCTCTCTAGGAAAATTCCAAATGCATTGAAAATGAACTAAATAAGAAATTCCAAATACCTTAAAAGTTTTCTTTGCATTTATTTTTTTAAAACCGAACACTTGAAAATTCAAAATCTCTGAATTTGATTTACTTTACACTATAAATGCTGGCAATCAACCATTTTAATATAGGGGATCTTGTTAAGGCTTCACTGAACATTGCCATGAAAGTTGAATGAAGTTTTATTCTGCTCCACTAATAAGCGCTCCTTTATAAATCTGTATAAATAGAATTGAAACTTAGATTTAAATTCAACAAATTCAAGTTCTTCTCTGATCTTATTGACTGGCTATTTACTTGTTTATTTGTGCACTTAGGTTGTGATAACCATAGTTCTTATGGTGGAAGAGTTATTCAAGTCAAGTGCGGGATCTACGCGAAAAAAATAGGTATAGATGGCTCTGCAGAGGCAATAAAGGAGGCCATTAAATCAGCTTTTGGATTGAGAACAAGACGGGCTTTTTGGCTTGAAGATGAAGATGAGGTAGTTCGCAGTCTTGATAGGGACATGCCACTAGGGACCTACACTCTTCATCTTGATGAGGGTAACGATCCGACTTGCACTTATCCTAGCTATCACGCTATGATGTTTACCAAATCTGACCTTTTATTCTGTAAATTCTAGCTTTTGTTTATTCCAGTGTTGAGAAAAAAAAAAAACTTAAATCCTTGCAATGCCTACTAAAATATATGGGACAATATGCAAATTTATTTGTTTTGTTATATAATGAGGTGCTTTATTTGAGATTATTTTGACTTATATTTTCATATATGCAAGTCCTTCACGAATTTTATTATGTTATGATATTATTTGTATTTTAAGCATGTTTTTTGGTTGAACTATCTTATTACACACACAAATATACACAAAAAAGAGAGTGGGAGAACAGTTATCAAATATTCAAAAAATGATTAAATTATATCACCAATTTCTTAGGTTGTACATTACCATCAATGATCTTGATCTTACATTTAAATATTCTAATATTAAAGCCTCATTGCATGGTGTACAAGTGTTTTTTTATATTAAAGCGCGCGCGCACACACTATATATATATATATGTTGGTTCTATTTCATTGCTTCTCATCAAACCCCAACATTATGCTTAAGTTGGATATGCTTGCTAGTCAAAACTTGTTCATATATTTTTATTTATCTAACACAACACATTTTGTGAGATAATTTTTCTTAAAAGATTGAAAAGCCTATTTTAATATAGAGATTGGATAAGGCTAGGAATGTGATAGGAAGTAGATGTTATTTCAGCAAATACCAGAAAATGACACAGGAAAATTGGTAAGAAGAACACCAAAAATAATTTTTATTGCAAGAATTATGAAGGAAATATGCATGATACAATTGGATATTCAAGTGGAGAGGAAGATCTAGCTCTCCCATATTCCTTAACCGTCGGCTAGAGCCCTCTCATCTAAGCGAACTTCAATTTTAACCCCCACCACCCCCCCACCAACCCCCCCCCCCCCCCCCACAAAAAAAAAAAAAAAAAAAAAGAACCCTAGGCGAACCAATTGCTTAAGACATACAATACCTAGTAAATCTCAAAACAACCCTCTCCCTTTTGCATTTCCCTCTAAGCTGCTCCCTTAACATTCAAATTACCCCCGGATCCCACCCCAAAAAGGGGCAGAATACATTTAGGCGGAAGCCTGTTTCGCCTCAAACTGGTGGGAGCGTGTTCTACCTTACGTACGTTCTGGCCGGTCCAGGAGGGACCGACCAAACAGTGACCAGTCCAGGAGGGACTAGTCTATCAATACCCCCTTGAAAGACCCACATTATCCTCAAGGTGGAAAGACTGAAATTGTCGCTGCACCCCCTTGTGTAGCTCCCATGTGGCATCATAGTTGGGTAGGTTCTTCCATTTTATTAGCACTTTCTTGATCTCTCACTCTCCTTGTCGCACCTCTTTCAGCTCCATTGGTTTCAACATCACCTCGAAATTTTTTATCAGTCCCTGATAACTCTGAATTGGATGCATGATCCCCGATGACTCTTCTCAACTATGACACGTGGAACACTGGATGTATAGTAATAGTCGTAGGTAACCTCAATTGATAAGCCACTACTTTAATCCTCTCTAATATCTCATAAGGACCAAAATACATTGGGGCTAGCTTCTCATTCCTCTTGTTAGCTACCGTCCTTTGTCTATAGGGACGAAGTTTCAAATATACCCCTATCTCAAACATAATATTAGGGGTGTCAATTTTGGGTCACGGGTCGAGTTCGGGTCGAACTTGAAATTGACCCAACACTGTTCAGGTCAACCTGAACCCGACCCATTTTTAAAATGGGTTGTTTTTTGAGACCCGAACCCGACCTGACACAGATTTTCAATTCGATAGGAAGGAACGTTGTCGAGCTCCCGTCGCTACTTCCAGTTTTGATGAGGTGGCGAGCTGTCCCGACTTCTGATTTGACAGGAAGGAACGTCGTTGAAGGAGGAAGATAATGAGCTCACATCGTTGATGGAGGAAGATAACGAATTTCAGATTTGACAGGAAGGAACATCGTCGAAGTCCCCAAGAGACTCAACAATAGCGGCAGAAGCGGTGGGCCGGCAAGTCGGGCAATAGACGCGGGGAGCGACGTCAGCCTCGAAGGAGGTGAACTGGCGAAGAGGCTCTCAGATGTGACAAGCAAGTATGCGACTGACGGACTAAGCGACTCGACGCGTCTCGGCGTCGGGTCATTTTGCGGGCAGGGCGGGCACGCTGGGCAGCAGACGCTGGCAGAATAGTTTCCGGGTGAATTTCGAGTCGTGTTCGGGTTTTTGGGTCAACTCGAACCCGACCCGAAACTCAAATGGGGTCAGATTTTCAAATTCGAACCCGACCCATTTGCTATCCGGGTCGACCCGAACCCGGATTTTTCCAGGTTGGGTTCGGGTTGTGTCAAAATTTGATACCCCTACAGAATATCCTTCTTGCGTCCATCCTCTTGCTTTTTCATGATCTATTGAGCCCTCAACAAATGGTTTTTTAAGTTAGCCAAGACTATTCATCTTCTCAAAGTATTGCTTTATCGATGTGACTTGTGTGCTGCACAACCCAAAGTGCACCAAGTGGGGTGGGTCCCTTATGTACAACACTTTAAAAGAAGTCATATGTGAAATTGAATGATATGAAATGTTGTACTAGTACTCCGCTCATGCCAGCCACTTGGCCCACAACTGATGTGTCTCTGACGCAAATTATTGCAATTACTTATCAAGACTTATGTTTACCACCTCTACTTCCCGCCCATTTGTGGGTGGTAAGCGGTACTATTCTTTAGTATGCTCCCGTGCAGCCTAAACAACTGCCTACAAAAATGATTGAGGAACACCTTATCTTGGTTAGACACTATAGACTTTGATATCATATGTAATCTGACTACCTCTCTGATCAATGTCCCTGCTACTGTGAATGTCGTGTACATATGTCATAGGGTAATAAAATGAGCATACTTGCTCAATCTTTCCACCACCACCAAAATCACTATAAATCCCTCAAATTTGAGTACATCTATAAAATCTTTGGTGATCTCCTCCTACACTTTGTCCTGAAGAGCTAAAGGTTGCAATAACCCTCCCGGAGCCATAGCCATGTATTTGCTCCTCTAGCATACCTTACATCTAACCACGATCTCCTCTACATCTTTATCCATCCCCTTCCAATACAACTTTGCCGCCAACCTCGTGCATGTCTTCTACACCCCTGAATAATTCCCAAATGAGCTCCCATGAAACTCATGCAGAATGTGAGAAATGTAGAGCAAGGTTCGTCGCAATACAAATCTCCCTTGGTACAACATTCTCTCCCCTTTTAGGGAATAACAAGGATGGCTACTCTCATCCCTCAGCAGATCTGCCCTAATCTCCCTCAGCTCCTCGTCTTGAAAACTCTTCTCCTTAATAGCTCCCCTATCTAACATCAGTAGTACCAAAATGGCTAACTCCTGGAGCCTCTGATACACCTAGGGTTTCACAATTTCGGTTTTGCCCTAATTTCCCCCAAAAGAGAAGTATTTTTCCACCAAAATCAAAGAGAAACAATCACAAGAGAGTTGGGTTGAAAAACAAGAACCTTTGCATTAAAAAGCCAAGAGAAAACAAGATAAGTTTGTCCACTTCGAGAAGGACAAGATCTCCCACAAGAAAACCCTAGAAAAGAAGAAGAAGACTAGGAGAAGAAAACTAGAAAGAGGCTACCTTTTTCATGATCCCCAAAACTAAACCCTAATGGCCCTCTTCATGCCATCCCAAAATTCCTCCCATCTCCAAAATACCCCCACTTAAGTGGGTGGGTCCCCCTTGGTCCAACCAGTCTGCCCGCCCCCTCTCTTCCGCCTGTAGACCTGCACGGGTCCAGGCCGGACCGGTTGAACCGGTCCATCAATACCGCCCTCTAGAAGATCAACCTTGTCCTCAAGGTTGAAGTCTGGAAATTGCTCCCGCATGGCTTCGTATACCTCCCAAGTAGCCTCATGTGTCGGTAAGTCCTTCCACTCGATGAGAATCTCCCTTTTGCCTTGATCATTCTTCCTCACTTCCTTCACATGTAGTGGCTCTAGTAAGAGTTGCATATCTTCTGTTAGGCCATGGGGTATAGTAGGAATGGCCACAGTATGATCCCCTATACTCTTTTTCAATAGCGATGCATGGAATACAGGGTGGATGGATGAATGAGGAGGTAACTTGAGACGGTAGGCCACCATCCCCACTTTCCTTTCGATCTCGAAAGGCCCGTAGTATCGTGGAGAGAGCTTTTCACTTCTTCTGCTAGCTAGAGTCTTCTGTCGATAAGGCCGTAGCTTCAAGTATACCATCTCTCCCACCTCAAATGTCACATCCTTGCGGTGAGCATCCGCCTTGGTCTTCATGATCTGTTGGGCCCTCAATAGGTGTTCCCTCAACTCACCCAACACCCTATCCCTCTCCTCCAAGTATTGATCCACTAGATATACAGGGGTCGTCCCCTTCTGATAATTCACCAACGGTGGTGGATCTCTTCCATAAAGAATCTTGAAAGGTGTGAAAGATAAATTTGTCCACTTCGAGAAGGACAAGATCTCCCACAAGAAAACCCTAGAAAAGAAGAAGAAGAAGACTAGGAGAAGAAAACTAGAAAGAGGCTACCTTTTTCATGATCCCCAAAACTAAACCCTAATGGCCCTCTTCATGCCATCCCAAAATTTCTCCCATCTCCAAAATACCCCCACTTAAGTGGGTGGGTCCCCCTTGGTCCAACCAGTCCGCACGCCCCCTCTCTTCCGCCTGTAGACCCGCACGGGTCCAGTAGTACCAAAATGGCTCGGTCCATCAGCCTCCTCCATGCATCTGGACAAGGTGTCAGTCGCCTTGTTCTCTAACTCGTGCCTATAATGGATCTCGAAATCATATCCCAACAGCTTTGAAAGCCGCCTCTAATTCTCCTTGATCACAATCCTCTGCTCTAACAAGTACTTTAAATTCCTACGGTTTGTCCTGACAATGAAATGTCGACCCAACAAGTAAGGCTTCCACTTATGAATGATCAACAC